AATTATACAGAATCAGAGACAGACTTTTGAAAAGCCACTCTAAAAAAAAAAAATTAAAACAATAACTGAGCAGGGAAATGAATCACTAAACACCTGGCAGGGGCAGAGGGGAGACAGATCAGAGTCCAGATATTAAGTCCAGACAAGTTACTAAATAAATAAACCCTTGGAGTGGGGAAGCCAGAATCCATAGTTACAACAACATACTACCTAAAATGTCCAGTATTCAACAGAAATATTCAAATAAATAGCAAAGTGTGACCCACACTCAAGGCAAAAAATAGTCAACAAAAACCAACTCTGAGTGGACTTAAATATAAGATTTAGCAGACAAGGACCTCAAAGATGTTATTATAAATATACTCAAATAATTGAAATAAATTATATTTAAAGAATTAAAGGAAAATATGACAATTACTCAAAAATGGGCATTATCAAGAGAAATAGAATCTAAAAAAGTAACTAAATGGATTCTAGAGTTGAAAAATGTAACAACAAAATGAGTATAGCAACAGATCTGAGAAAGCTGAAGGGAAAAAGTAAACTTGAAGACAGATCAGCAGATACTATCCACTTTGAAGAATGAACAAAAATTGAAAAAATGGTAAACAAAGCCTCAGAGACCTCTGGGACACATTAAATGTATTCGTATAAGTGTAGTAAGAGTCCTAGAAGGAAAGGAGAGAGAGGAAAGTGTACTAAAAAAATGGCTGAAAAATGGACAAATTTGATGAAAAACATTAATCTAGAGATCTAAGAAGTTCAATGAACCCAAGTGTGATAAACACAAAGTGATCTATGATCCACAACCATGTTTGTGGTATTTTGTTATGCCAGCCCTAGCAAATGAGTACACCAAGCAATGCCTGTCAAAAGATGATACTGCGGATCAGGTAGACACTCCATGTGCTATTCCCTAGATAAATGCTTTCTCTCCTTATTTAGCCATAGCCTCAGAAAAAAAGAATGAAAAGTCAGATTGACTGACATTCGATTTTCTAGAAGCTAGAAATAAAAATTAACTTGTTATAGAAAAACAGGGAGTTCATGGACTGAGATTTGTACCAGCAACATAAATATATAGTGTGATCAAAAAAAAAAAAAGAAGATTGTCAAATATTCTCCCCAAATGTTACTGGTGGCACTAGGAGATCCAAACAAGCCCTGACTACCTACTCTAGTTGACCCCTAGTCACCAGCTTCATGTCATTCTACAACATAAAATTGCCAGTATTTTTCATTTCATCTCTTGTTTTTAGTGTGTGTTTCCAAAATGTTTTACAATAAATATGTGCTAAATTTTTTAGAAGCTATTTAAAATAAGGCTGTTGTAGCATGTCACCTACAATACTTGTGCTTTTTTTTTTACTTCTGCATTTTTTTTACCACCAGAATTTGCCAGTGTCTCACATGTCTTTTACCCTAGAATCTTCTACTATCTCTCTAAACCCTCTTTAATCCCTTTCCTACATAATTAAAATTTTATTGATAGAGTGCCTGTTCATATGAAAAAAAAATTTAAGGGAAAATCATTATATGTTTCCCATTTAATAAAGCCTTTTCTTTGAAAACAGCAAAAAATAAAATGCAGTGTTTTCTGTTTATGGTGGACAAAACTCTGCCCTGAGGAGCAGAAGGCCCAGGATTTAGTTATAGTTTGCCACTAACTAGTCAGGGAGCCTGAAATAATTCACATTCTATTTTAAGTCACAGTTTCTTCAGATGCATAAAATATGTCAGGTTAAATAACATGTAAGTAACTTCTATGTTTCTGATTTCAAGATTTTTGTCTAGTGCTCCATAGTGAAAAGAGACTTCTCTTCGTTGTTGTTTTCTGTTCATTTTAACTGCAGAAGATAAACTAAAAGTTCTATTTACATGCTGGAAAAATACTGGAAAACCTTCAAAGTTCAAATTTCTAAAACATTAGGCAGATACAAGAATAGATGGTATAGAACCACAATGTATTATTTTCCTGACTTTCAGACATGCCATTCTATAGTTATTAGTTTCATTTGTTGAGATTTTAAATGAATATCAAACAATATCATGTTTGCATAGTCTTCAGCTTTTAAGATCAGCACATACATGTAGCCTAAAGTTGCTTCATTTTCCCAAAGGAAGAATTTCAGACAAAAATCGTGTCCTCGGTCACAAAATTTTTGTTACCATAGTGATGAGAATAAAGAATGGGGGCGGGTAGCTAAAAATACCTGAACACATACAGACAGCTTTAGGAATTTGACCTACTTGGTGTCATACACTGAAGAAGTTAATCAATTGAATTAACTACATATGCACTAGGTGAAATATTCTACTGGATGAAAAAATGCGTAGGTTGCACATCTGGAGCTATTATCCACAATCAAAGAAGTCAGTATGAATGAAGATGACTGACAACCTAAAAAGTATAAAATCAGATTCTTTTAAAAATGGAATATATACAAGAAGCAAGTAGAAAACCATTAATTTAGTTTCATTTCCCATAAATTTTCTGTTTTTCTTCCATTAGTTAGGATATTTCCATTTCAAATGAAAGCTTCTTATGTACCAAAAGAATTTTTTTAACTGGATGGAGCAACATAATAGGACATATATTTGAAATTATGTTAGAGTGGCTCTTTTCTATAAAAGAAAGCTTCCCAATTTTAGGCATTATATTAAAAACAATATGTTTTTGAACTAAGTTTTCTTCTGAAAATTCTAGTTTTAACAAGAAATTTAATAAACTCAGTCATTCGCAGAAAACCTACTTTATCGCAAGGCATTACGCTAGCCTGTGAAAGATCAATAAAAGGCAGTACTTGCTGTCAAGAGTGTTTTAATCATCTGTATAATTGTGCTTTCATAGCACAGACTTGTAAAGTATCTCCACATAGTAAAATGGAAACAACACTGTGTCTGACTTGAAGAGACCAGGAATAAAGTTCCAGCTCTACTAGTGAGCTTAGCAAAGTCTCATTCTAAGTCTGCCCTCTCATCTGTAAAATGAACATAAATGAGCATCTCACCACCTCTAGCACACACAGGTCATTATGCTAATCAAAAGAGAAGGTGGAAACCAACAGAAAACATTCAATCAATAAGCTCTATAAAATGAACCAGTATACAAATAGTTTAACACTTAAACATTTTCAAAATAAAAAATAATAAAAAGAACTAAGTATACTTAAGAATTACTTAAGAATGATAATAGCAAACTTTACTGAGCACTTATATTGGGACACATATTTTACAGAAATTACTTCATTTAAACTTCACAACAGTCCAATGACTTAGATAGCATTATCTTCCTTTTATGGTTGAGAAAAATAAGGAACAGGAGAGATAAATAAATTGTCCGAAGACATACAGCTAGTAGGTGGTGAAGCCAGGAATTAAACCCAGGAAAGCTAATTCCAGAGCCACGCTCTCAATATGTCTTTATGATGTACTCCAAAATAATCAGTGGAGGGAAATATCTCCGTGAAACTATTAATTTGAAAAAAAATTACATTTTAAGTTACTAACACTAATCAGTATAAGTTTCTGAAATGTCTAATTCATGCTATTTTGCTGCTTAATTTTTTCATTATTATTATTATAAAGAAAAATAAAATCAATTCAAAGGTACAACAGTAAGAAAATAATCTCAATTTTCATAAAAATAATGTTATATGTACAGAAAAAAACCTAGGAAGATAGACATCAAATGTTTATAATTGCTACTTCTTAGCAGTTTCGTATATTTCTAGATTCCCAAATTTTCTATAATAAACATTCAAGGTTTTTGTCATCAGGAAAAAAATGACTTAAACAGTCTAGTCATGACTAGTAAAGCCCAAAGCGATTTCAATGCCTCTTTCAGCCTATGAAAAAACAGTTATTAAGAGTCTAGAAAACTCTTCTAGGTACTAAGGTTACAGCAGTGGCAAAGCAAAGTCCATACGTAATAAATTAGGTAAATTTAAACTAAGAACTAAGAAAGAGAACTTCAAATCTATAAGGAAGCTTCAACCTTGTCACTCTGACCTTAATCATCTTTCTATTGGCATGTGAGCCGTTTTTTGTATTTATTTATTTACTTATTTATTTATTTAAGAGAGAGAACAAGCGGAGGGGCAGGGGCAGAGGGAGAGGGAGAAGCAGGCTCCTTGTTGAGCAGGGAACCCCGTGCGGGGCTCGCTCCATCTGGATCCCAGGACCCTGGGATCATGACCTGAGCCGAAGGCAGATGCTTAACCGACTGAGCCACCCAGGCGCCCCCTCTTTTGTTGTATTTTAAAAGGGTCCTGAAATGTTTTGTTTATCTTTTCTTCTCAATCAAATTGTAGTACATCATCCATCATCTTTAGAACTAACAGCAAGCCATAGCATTAGTATGGTCACAGACATTGAGAAGAACCTTAAGGAATTAAGGAAAATTTGTTGAGACTTCCCACATCTTGGTGACAATTTTCACCCCCTTACCAGTCTTTAGAGAAGAGAGGGATGTTGTTCCATTTAAATTATTAAATATTCTCAAACAGCACTATCCTTTCACCTATTTACTGTTCAGAAAAGAAATGATTTTTAACCGTAAAATTCTATTTTATTGAAATAGTTTATAATGTTTAAACATTTAAACTTGGCTATGTTCTTCAGTACCCAATCTAACTATCCAGGAGAAAGCTTTTTATCATCAGTATTTAAAATATAGTAGCTTAAAATATACTGAGTTAGGTATGACTTATGTTGTATCAAAAAATATATTAATATCTTAAAAGCTTAAAATCATCTCCTCCACCCCCTAAAAAAAAAAAAAAGAACTGTATTGTATTAACTTATTTTGACCTGTCCTTTAAATCTCTCCTTTCATATACATTAAGATTTAAAAAATTTTAGGAAACAGATTTATAGGACAAGTTTAATGGGAAAAAAATGGGACTGTTTTAAATTTAAATTATATTTAAATTAAACAAGAGAAGGAAAGGGAACAGCAAAGAAAGGGAAAAAAAGATAAGAAACGGGAAACCACTCACCTTTATGGACCAGGTCCCAAACCTCATCAATTTGCTGCTGGGTTGGGAAATGACCACAGTCGTTGAAGAACTTGAGGAGCTCACTTCTTTCTAATCCTTGCCAATCTTCTCTCTTAGCAAACATTGTTTCATAGACTAAAAGAAAGAGACAAAATGAAATATTTTTGTTATAAATAAAATGTCAAGAACAAACTACCAGAAAGTTTCATCTAAATTCAAAGAAGGTTTCCCTCCAGTTTTATTTGTATGTCGAGTGATTAGAGTAGCACTATGTCAGCCTCCTGGGGAAGGTTAGAAGGAAATGGGGCATGCTTCTCCCTCTCACATTCCCTAGTAGTCAAGATTTAGACCTGTTTCCCCAAAGAGAACACTGGCATCCTCTGGTCTGGTTTATATGACAACTGCCCATGGATAATGCATACATCAAGGCTCAAACTAAAGCATAAGACATAGCTTTGATGTCAGGGTTTCTGGGGGCCTGACTTCTACTGACGCATCTCAATAATCATTTTTATTTAGTTCCCCTAATTTTTTCATCTCTTTTTGGCTTCTGTCTACATTCTAGCTACTTGTATTGGTGATTGTCCTTTGGACTGCTTATTCTACTTCTGATTTTGCCCCTAAATGGAATGATGTCTACTTTTGCCCCCTGACTTCATGTATTCCTCCTTCCTAGTTTAAGGTCACTGGATTTGAGTGACCACAGAAAGTGATCTTGCCACTCCTGGCTCAAGGTTTCCACAGAAAACCACTCAGTAGGGCCATCCTTTATCTATCTTTCATACTTGGCAGTAACGGGGGTTAGATAATAAGCAAGAAAATGGATGCATACATTTTATAAAAGTGTGGTTCCCCATAAACCTTTTATTTTTTCTTTTCAAAAAGGTAATATTGAGTCTCCACTCTCAGGTATGATGGACTGGCCCCATGAAGGTGATTGTCAGTCAGCATTTACAGGATGACAAAGTCTGCTTCAGTACAGGCTTAGCTCTGAAGTGTGGGCTCCAAGTGACAAAGGGCACTAGAGTGATTTCTAACAGGAGTCAGTGTATGATCCTGACACTCAACCACAAGGACTTTCGACTTTCCGTTTATTCACTTGTTTGTTCAGTGGAAGTGGACAGTCATGAGACATCAACAAATTCAAGAAATATTGAGTGATTGCCTAAATATAAGCCACTATTCCAGATCCTGAAACAAAGCAGCAAAATAAATTTATATTTAGCATATCTATGGCTTTTTCTCTCTTCTTTTTTTTTTAAAGATTTTTTATTTATTTATTTGAGAGACAGAGAGAATGAGAGAGAAAGCACATGAGATGGGGGGAGGGTCAGAGGGAGAAGCAGACTCCCCGCTGAGCAGGGAGCCCGATGCGGGACTCGATCCCAGGACTCCAGGATCATGACCTGAGCCGAAGGCAGTCGCTTAACCAACTGAGCCACCCAGGCGCCCTTTTTCTCTCTTTTCTAATGAGCAAACTAGAGCAGTTGCTGTTGATGCCCCATCCATATTGCCTTATCCCTTACATTTTTGTGCTTGCTGCCCTTACTTTCACTCGCCAGCATCTCATTTTATTGCCTCAGGGCTCCCTCTGGTTGCAGGACTCCACTCTGCCCACCTGTGCAGCAAATGTTGAGCAGAAGTGCCAGGGACTTAAGGCCCCCAATGCAGTGGCCCTCAGCCACTGGTTCTCTGTCAACTGGGAGTTGGAGGATAAAGGCCCAGCACTTAAGGAAAGTTGTCTACAATGTTCCCTAGAGGGATCAAGCTCCAGCTGATGGTAATCGGTCTGATAACGCATTCTTTTTTGACTTCTATCCCTTCCCTGTCTTAATTCATTCCATTAACAGTATTTACTGGGATCTACTTGCAAATAAGTTAGTTGTACTTGAATTCTTGTCTGAGGGTCTGATTCTGGAGAAATCCAAACTAGCACACAAAGAATGTCACTTTTTATTTTCTGGTTAAGGAAATATATTTGTCCTTGAAAAGTATATTTACCTTTATTAGTTTTTCAGTCAATCAGTTTTAGATGTTTCTCACTAGATCAAACTAAGAGACATATTAACATTATGGCCATGTAACTATATTAATAGACAATAATGTGTTTAACCTTTATATTATGCTTGAAAAGCAAATGTTCAGCTACACACTAGCAGAATTAATATTCTAGGCAGGTTTAATCAGGGTCAATATAAAACTTAAATCATGAAAATTAAATGAAATTTTCTGGTAATTGAAAGATTCTTAAAAATGTGTAAAGATAGATACCTGCCAAATATCACCCAATTAACAGTCCACATATGGAAGGGATGGAGAATTTTCTGAGGAACATAAAGGCAAATAATAACTTGCAAATTCTGTGGACTCTAGAGTTACTTTAACCCTTAGTGCAAATAGATGCCTTAGTTGGCAATTCTTTAAATCACTTTTTTAAAAGGATTTTTAAGTAAAGGAGTCCCAGCAGCTTCCCAATGAGAGAAAGGTTTTCTCTTTCTTTGCCTCTGTCTCTCACTTGCTTTCTTTTTCTCCCTTCTTCCCATCTTTTCATCTCCAACATTTTGCTCCTTCTGTCCCTTTCTCTGGAAACCAAGTTGTGGGGACTGGGTTACTTGATCTAGCTTAATTCTGTGACGTGCATAGAATCTCTTAGACTTCTTTCCCTAACCTCTAGCCACAGAAAAGGCGTCCTTCTAACTCAAAGAATTCTGGTTATCTGTAAATATTTTTTGGCATACAATTTTAGTGTAAGTAATAAAGTTAATGAAAACTATCAACAAATACTTCTGAGCCCTTTGATAAGCCAGGCATTTGTTAATAGTGGCTATTCATTAAAGAATGTTAATAGATACAGTCCCTGTCTTCATGGAACGTACAGTCCATTGTGAAATGAATATTTTATGATTAGATGAAACTATACTAAAAATGTAGCACTTTTATATTATAAAGCGGAAAGATGCTTATTTCAATTAAATATAATTTACTTGCATCATTTTGTTTTTTGCTTATTATTTTTAAAGACAGTTTTTTAAGAGTAGTTTTAAGAAGGTACAGAGATTTCTCACATACCCACTACATCCACATAAGCATAGCCTTCTTTCATTATCAACATCACTCACAGAGTTATACATTTGTTACTAAGGATGACACATCAATACCACTAAGGTCCACAGTTTACCTCAGAGTTCACTGTTGATGTTGCACATTCTATGGATTTAGACAAATACATAATGACATGTATCCATCATTGCAGTATTGTACAGAATGGTTTTACTGCCTTAAAAATCCTCTATATTCTGCCAGTTCATCCCTCCCCCACCCACCCCATCTACTCCTGGTAAATATAAGTTTTTTAATTTTCTCCATAGTTTTGCCTTTTCTAGAATGTCATATGGTTGGGAAGCATACAGTATATATAGACTTTTCAGATTGGCTTATTTTACTTAGTAATATGCATTTAAAGATTTTTATTTATTTATTTGACAGAGAGAGAGACAGCAAGAGAGGGAATACAAGCAGGGGGAGTGAGAGAAGGAGAAGTAGGCTTCGCATGGAGCAGGGAGCCCGATGTGGGGCTCGATCCCAGGACCCTGGGATCATGACCTGAGCCGAAGGCAGACGCTTAACGACTGAGCCACCCAGGCATCCCAGCAATATGCATTTAAGATTCCTCTGTCTTTTCATAGTTTGATAGCTCATTTCTTCTTAGCTCTAAATACACTCCCTTGTCCAGATGTACCATAGTTTATTGATCTATTCATCTACTGAAGGACATCTGGGTTGCTATTAAGCTTTGGCAATTATGAAAAAACAGATACAGACATCCATGTGTAGGTTTTGTGTGCCTATAAGTTTTCGATGCCTGTGCGTAAACACCAAGGAGCATGATTGCTGGATCATATGGTAACAGTATGTTTAGTTTTATAAGAAACCACCACAATGTTTTCCAAAATGGCTGTATCATTGGCATTCTCATTAATAATGAATAATAGTTCCTGTTGCTCCACATCCTTAGCAGTATATGATATTGACAGTGTTCTGGAGTTTAGCCATTCTAATAGGCGTGTAGTATATCTTGCTGTTTTAATTTGCATTTCCCTAATAACAATGATATTGAACATTCCAAATGCTTATCATCTGTATATCTTCTTTGGTGAGGTCTTAGGCTCAATTTTATTCAAGTTGTTTATTTTATTATTCCTGAGTTGTTCTTTGTATACGTTCAATAGCAGTCCTTATCAGATGCATCTTTTGCAAATATTTTTCCCAGCATGTGCCTTGTATTCTCATTCTCTTAACGTTATCTTTTGCAAAGTAGAAGTTTTTAATTTTAATGTAATCCAGATCTTCGATCATTTATTTAATGGATCATGTCTTTAGTGTTGTATCTAAAAAGGCACCATATCCAAGATCATCTATGTTTTCTCCTATGTTACATTCCAGAAGTTTCATTTTTTTGCACTTAGGTCTATGACCCATTTTGAGTTAATTTTTGTAAAGAATGAAGGTCTGTGTTTAGATTTTTTTTTTTTTGCATGTGGATAGCCAGTTGTTCCAGCACCATTTTTGAAAAGACTATCTTTGCTCTATTGTGTTTCTTTTGCTCATTTGTCAAAGACCGCTTGGCTATATTTATGGGGGCCTGTTTCTGGGCTCTCTATTCTGTTCCACTGATCTATTGTCTATTCTTTCACCAATACCACACTGTTTTGAAAATTATAGCTTTATAGTAGGTCTTGAAGCTGGGTAGCATCAGTCCTCCAACTTTGTTCTTCTCCTTCAATATTGTGTTGGCTATTCTTGACTTTTGCCTCTCCATATAAACTTCAGAATCAGTTTGTCAAAATCCACAAAGTAACTTGCTGGGATTCTGAATGGGATTTCACTAAATCTATAAATCAAATTAAGAAGAACTGACTTTCTGACAATATTGAGTCTTCCTACCCATGAACATGGAATATCTATCCATTTATTCAGTTCTTTGATTTTGCTTATCAGAGTTTTGGAGTTTTCCTCATAGAGACCTTGTACATATTTTGTTACATTTATACCTAAATATTTCATTTTGGGGTGTTAATGTAAGTGTTATTGTTTAATTTCAAAGTCCATTTGTTCATTGTTGGAATAAAAGTAAA